GCTGAGTCTCGTGGCCACGTTTAGCTCGACGCGATTGCATTCAAACAATCTTTTGTCTTGCTGAGACGATAACCCGTCTCTCTGACCTGCCAGTCGACGAGAGCAAGGTACAACATGCATGCAGTGCCGCGTTGTTGGCGTATGTCTGTCCCCTTGCAGGAATTCAACCTCGCCCACGTTCTGTTTCATCCAACAAGAACAGCGCTCCGAGCCGGTCGGCGAGAGAACACCAGGAACTTGGTTTGGTGTCCAGGAGATGTCAATGCCTGGCGAATTGGACCTCCACCCCGTGCCGAAGCGACTCGTGGCCCTACCCCCGAGACAAGTTGCAAAGTCTGGTCCATGGCGTGAAGCTTGCGACAGGCACACGGGGGGAGACCGCTCACATTGTTCAAACGACGTCAGGGGGCTCGAAATGTGGGAGATTTCAGACTACCAGTCCGTGTGTATTGTGTTGCTGTGTTTTGCCGTTCGTTCCGCCGAGGCAAGTGCGAAAGCCCATGCGACTGTCTCCACCGCCCTCCTGGATGGCGTCACAATCGACCATGCGTTTTGGTTTTGTTTCCGAGCGATACCTTCATCAGATGCGTGTTCTATATCCAACGGGTGCACCGATTCTCGTGCTGTGGTTGACCAGCAGCAGGATATTGTCGTGGAGGTGGTTTCCTGTTGAAACTCCTCGCGCGCTGCCCAAGAAGACACCTCCTTGGTGGTGCAAGCTCTCGTCGCAACATACACTGCAACGACCAGCCAGGCAAGGTGCGTCACCACGGTGGAATTCCACAATATTTTCGACTAATGACATCGACAGACGACTGGCGGTCGGCATTTCGTTAGGTTTTGAGAATCGCCTTCTTGTACTCGGCCATGGACCCTCGGAATTGAGTCACTTTTCGGTCGCCTACGACCCACAGCTCGGTACAAATGCTGTTGACAAAGTGCTGATCATGCGAAACAATCACGACGCCGCCCTTGTAGTTGCGCAGGGCGTCAATGAGCGCATCGATTGTTTCTAGCCAGGTTCCCGTCAGGCATGTGTGTGCCATCCCCGACACATTGTCGTACCAATATCCAAGTGATTCGTCGGTTCATCCAACACGACCACGTGCGGAAGGCGCCAGGTCAAGATGGCAAATCCCACGCGCGACTAGAACGGCTGGTCAGGTTGGACGCACAAATTCGCACGGACCTTTTGCCCCCCAGACAGTTTGCGCGTCGGCTTCATGGCGAGTTCCCCAGACAAGTTGAATCGACCCAAGTGGTTGCGAAATTCGTCCGGTTCGTGGCCCGGAAACAGCTCCATCATGTTTTCGACGGCGGTTTTGCTCAAGTCGAGCGAGTCCACGTGATGCTGCGTGAAGGTTGAGATGCGGACGCGCGGGTTGCGCACGCACTTGCCGCGCGTCGGGTTGAGTTTGCCCAGCATCAAGTTGATCAGCGTACTCTTCCCCGACCCGTTCACGCCGAGGATACCAATACGACTCGACATATCAATGCCAAAGTTGACGTCTTCGCAAAAGTGAACCCGTGAAATAGCACACGCTTGTACGGTCGATGAGAGCACGTACCGCTAAAGAGCTCGGGGCTGTCGGCGGCATACTGAAACGCGACGTTTTCGATCGATATGATCGGCCGGCCCAACGGTTCCGGGGGCGGAAAGTTCATCTTGAATGCGCGCGGGTCCTCGGGCTCTTCGACCGCCGTCCGCATAATCTTCTCGAGTGCTTTGATGCGACTCTGGACCAGCGGTGCCTTCTTGGCGTTGCATCGGAATCGGTCGATAAATTCTTGCATGTGCGCCACCTTCATCTGCTGCGCTTCGTACGCCTACCACGTGTACCACGACCGAACCGACGACATCAACGTCCGCCAGGTCAGGATGATTGTGTACCTTGCGCTGGTTCTTCAGTAACTCTTCCTGCGTGTTCTCGAACGAGGCAAAGTTGCCGCGATGGTACGTCAGCTGCTGTTTGGCCAAATAAATTGTGTCGGTCGTGACTTGGTTGAGAAAGTTGCGGTCGTGCGATACCACAATCAGCGTCTTCGGGTACGTCTCGAGGTAGTTTTCAAGCCACATCACAGCCTACATCGCAACACACGGCAGCACGTGATGCGACAGAAAACGCAATCGGTCGAGTTTGGAACAAAACGAATGCGGACATGCATATCGAAACACAGGAACGCGATACCCACGGCATGAAATACGCACGGCAACCCCCGCTTTGACGTGTTTCATGTCAAGCACACGTCATGGCAAGCAATTGTATCTCGACAAGAGGCCACCACTCCACCTAGAACGCTGCCAAGCGCCTTTTCGGCGACTCCCCCGACACACGCATCACCGCCAAAGGGCATGGGCATTTATCACCACCATCATCATACGTCGAAGCGCAAGATCGAAGGTGCCCATGGACCATACCTCAAGATCCAAGTGGTTGGTCGGTTCATCGAGCAAGAGCAGGTCGGGCGACATAAAGAGAGCACCAGCCAGTGCCGTGCGCATGCGCCACCCCCCAGACAGTGCTTTGGCCGGCCCGTCGACAACCGATTCCGGGAACTGGAGTCCTGCCAAGATCGTGCGCGCGCGGCTCTCGGCCGTGTCCGAGTCAATTTGTTGCAGGCGTTCGTGGACCTTGTGGATGCGGTCGGGGTCGGTGTTGGTTTCAAGAAGATGCTTCTCCTCGGCCAGGAGCATCGTGCGCTCGTAGTCGGCGGCCAGCACAACCGACAGCACCGAGTCTTCGACGTGGCTCAACTTGGATGCAGACTCTTGTTCGACGTGTTGCATGCGAACGTGGCGCGGAAACTTTTCGATCTCGTAGTGGGACATGAACCGAAGCAACGTCGTTTTCCCGGCACCGTTCTAGACAAACTTGCTCTCAGCAACGATGAAGGAAAGCGTCTGAGAAGAAAGGTAGGGCAAGATACCTTGCCGATGAGACCATACCGCCGGCCAAAGATGAGCTTCAGCGACGTGTTGCTCAGGATCGTTTGACCCTTGAAGTTCATCGTGACGTTGTCCACATGAATATCCTGCAACGAGCGTAATGCGCGCCATGGACATATCAATATGGACAAGCACCTTTTCGCCATTGTCGGTCGACATGTCGGGCAATACGCGGGTGTCTTCCCACAAACGGTCCTCGTCCTCGTCCATCTTCTCCTTCTCTTGTTCGCTGAGCTCTTTCTTGGCCTCCTTGCGAATCTGGCGCTGCGACTGCGTGTTCGCGCACGATTCCATGCTTTCGTTCTTTGTCTTGCGGATGTTTTCAAACCCCCACATGCGTTCCATGATCCCGTTCATCTCGGCTTCGGTCGCACGACTCATGTCCTCCATCGATTGCACAACGTCCAGCTTCTTGAATGATTCTTCGGGTGCTTTCGCCAGCAGCCCTGCGTCTTGCATCGCCGCTTCCAACGACGCACAATATCGATTGGCATCTTCTTCGTCCTCGGTGAACCCCGACGACAACAAGAATGGCGCAATCGTGTCCACCAACGGATCGCTGCCGTCGTACTCTGATAGAATGCTCACCATGTAGTCCACCAAGGCATCATCCAGACCATGCAAGGTCTTGTTCAGCACCTCCTTGATCTTGATGTCTGTCATGGCGAAGTACTACTGGACGGTGGCGGCGTTTCCAATGGCAAGGGCATGGGGGGAGGGTCAAAGACAGACTTTGCCAGAATGATTTTATTATGTCTACATTTGTAACAAAGTATGCAACAGTTTAATTAAAATCGTGCGACCACCTATGTACACAACAACAGCAAATATAAATAGTTTCGAATATCCAATCTCGGCATAATTCCAAAGCATATTTACGCCGAGGGTGGGAGATGCACACCAATTATTTGGACGTGCATCGATCGACCAGACCTTTGAGAACTTGGTTTGCATTGGTACACCGGCTTTGGCCCCCGCAGTGGAACGGCATGGTGAGACTTGCATGGCTGGATTGAATATTACTGTGGGTTTTCACGAATTAGTCAATTCAAATATATTAAGAGTATGCTTGATGAACGTATGAATACACGACAAGCAAACATATAAATATGACCGAGGTCATTCTCCACACAACACGACAACTTGAGGGACGTGGACGGCAACGGGTCCGCCTCGAGGAGCATTGTCCAGGGCATCTGACTTCTCGAAGTCGTCATATGCGGTGGCGAGGAAAGTGTAGGCCGCCGACGGCACGACGTTCTTGAGGAGCGGGTCGTTTTCGGAGGCTGCAGCGAGCTCAACCACGACAACGTTGCTCGCGGGGTACACGACGATCCCGCCTCGTTCGTCATCGTCGGTGTCCGGGTACAAAACGTAGTGCTGCACCATGAAGACAACGTCGAAGAAGATGCAGACAGCGCCCAAGCCAAACTTGACTGGGTCGCCCGAGATCACACTCCAATCGTCAGTCACGGCACCGTCCATGACGAGCTGGCCCATCGAGAGCACAGACCCGAGGCAGTCGACAAGGACGCCATAGATGGAATATCCCACAGTCGATCGTCGAACATGGTTCAAGTACACTTGTGGAATGTACTTGACCAAGGTTGCGCCGAGTTTGACATAGCTGAGCAGGTACAGAAAGTTGAGCGTTGTAAAGAGCCCGAGCGAGTCGGTGGTCGTGGAGACGAGGTAGAACAGGCCGCAAGTGAGAGTCGACGCGGTGACGACTACCTGGGACAGCACCGACAACGTTTGGTCGCCGCGAGGATACACCAGACACTGGTAGACCTGGACCAACGTGGCTGTGAGAGCGTGAAGGGCAAAAAACACGTCGTTGATCTGGACAGCATTGCGATGGCCGTCATGGAGAGCCATGTAATCGGCTTGGACAGATGCACCCCAGAAGAAAGAGCAGTTGAAGATGGCATAGCAGACAAAACCGAGGAGGTTGTACAGTTGATAGTCGAGGGAGACTCCCACGACGCTCTGTCGTGCAAAGTTTGAAATGATCTGCGGCCAGAAACTCATGCTCCATGCGGCAAAGTACGTCCACCCGATGACAGACGAGATGCGGCCGTATGGCTCAGGGATGTTGGGGGTGGCGTCGACCGCATATCCGACCACAAAGCCAACTACGACGATCGCAGTGAACATGGCCGGGCCAGAGTACGGCTCCAGCGACCTCAGTGTCTTGGCAATTTTGACGTGGGAACGATGACGGTGCGGCATGCTTCGGCGCACCAACGAGCGGCGTCGCACACTTGATGTCGTCTTTAGCTGTGACGGCCGATGGGTTGCTCATGGTGCTGCTGCTGGTCGTGCCATCAGATACGATTGACGTTGGGATTTCAAGCGATGCCATTGGACATAGTTCGGCCAATGGTAATCCGTGCCTCAAGCTTGTGCGTGCCAAAACACGCACTCCCGATTCATATACAAAATGAAACTCTGAGAGCGTTGTTTGACAGGTAAACTTCGTGTTCTGTCAAAACTGAAACTTCCACGGCCAACTGGAAGCTGCTTGGTCACGGCAATGGCATGCGACAAAACACAATCACACGAATGCTTGCGACGCTTTCGCGAGCGGCACATGATGGCTCGATGTAGATGTTGAAGCGCTTGGTTGCCCACTGTGGCTTGGGGACGGCTTGCTAATAAATCACTCCACCACACAGCCACGCGTACTGCACGATCGCCGCCAACTTATCAACGCCACATTCGCCGCGCCCTTCGCAGCCTGCACGTTCCACATCGTCCTTGAGGTGAGGGGACGGGCTTTTCCGCGTGGCTTTAGCCGTCCCCACATGATGAGGTGGCGGCATTTTGGTCGAACTGCAATTGTGACGACGTGCAAGTGCACGATGTAAATTTTGTGTTTGGGCTACGCGCCGAGTTTGAGAGACGTACGTGCTGGTGCTAGCAGCACGCTACGCGGTCAAATAGCACGGCGAGGAACGCCGCGATGGCAATCGTTGGGATTGACGGCGCCACCGCCGTCCTACCGCTGTTTCCAGGCACGTCCTCGTTGGACGCGAATGACACGTCCGACTTGACTTCGTTCACACTAAGCTGGTTCGGGTCAAACAGTACGTTGGCCTCGACGAGTTGGGCGGCCAGAGTCGCGATCGAAGACGAGTTGCCGCCCTCATTCACCATCATGGTTTGGAAGAGAGTATCTGTTCTTTGCGTGGCTTGCAGCGACGGCAGCTCGATCATGACCGTAACTTCCAACACTGGTATCGAGTTGTTGATGACGATGTCTTGAAAGGCCACCGACACATTACTCCGATCTACATCGTACGTGGTCGTAATCGACGACACGTTGGCAATTGCTGTCGCGATCTCGTAGTCGGCGTCTTGCAGCTGCGCGGCAGACATCGCGTCGATGTACAGCACGACGACGACAGCATACTCGACATTGTCGTCGAGCGTGATTTCGTTGGTCGGAAACGCAACTGTTGCTGCGTCGGAGGTAGCGGACTGGTTAGCCGCATGTGCCAGCAGTTCGGGCGAGAACGTGATGGGGTACCGCTCGGCGTGGCACCGGAGGAAACAACGCGTAGGTTGAGCCTGCTGGGCAAGACATTGATCAACTGCAGGCTGGTAATAGCTTGTGCACGCGGTGCGGACGCAATGAAGCAGTCCAGGATAGCAAAAACACCCATCCCCAAATACATGCACGCATTGCGTGTACTGGACGTGGCAATACGACTGGGTGCACGTGCTGGCAGCCCAAAACTCTGGCGTCAGGACCACGAGCGGGCGAGCGATGTAGAGCGGGCGGACGTAGTGCGATCGGTGAACGTAGGTCACGGGTCGAACCGCCACAGGACGTGGGGCTGCGGGCTTGACATACTCAACAGGACCAGCGTACCGCGGAGGGGTCGGTGATGGTGCAAAGGCCAGTCGGGGAACGGCAGGTAAAGGTACGCGTTTAGGAGTTGGTCGTGGAGCAGGAGCAGGTCGCGGCTTCAAAGGTGTAGATGGACGAGTACTACCACTGCCTGGAACTGGCGGTGCAGGTCGTGGAGCTGGCTTCGGTGCAGGGGCTGGTTTCGGTGCGGAGTTTGGTTTTGGTGCAGGGGCTGGTTTGGTTGCAGGTGCAGGTCTGGGAGCTGGAGCTGGTTTAGGTGCGGGGGCTGGTTTCGGTGCAGGTTTGGGAGCTGGAGCAGGCCTCGACCCACCACCATTCGGCTTGCTTCCCTTGGCCTGCAGCGAGGCCGCTTCAATGGACCAATTCAAGGGTTGGTCAAGGTCAGTCGCGGCCAGCGACGTAGCAGACAGCAGGAGCAAGGGCACAAAAAGACGGCGTAACATGGAACAGATGATTCAAACGTCAAATTTGCTTCTAATGCCAATCGACCCTGCCAAGTTGCCGCATCGAGTGTTGTTCGAATTCGAGGCCCAAGGCTCGAAAATGGAAAGTTTGTCGCTGCTGGCCCCTCTTGGAGCCCTGAAAGGCCACACGAAATGAAGTGCTGCGATATGCTTGCAGAGTGCATACATGATCTATGCAAGTTATGAGGGTCGGCGGGAAATGCTGCTATGCGCGAGGACTTTACTGACGTGTGCGTGCTCGTGACATTATTCAACCATCATGCCAATGCGCTTGGCAAATCACCGCCACCTCAGCAAGACCCGGGAATAGGATTGCGGGCGGAAGTGCTGCTTTCGCCCGTGGGGTCCACTGATTACATCGACGCGTAAAAATTCCAAACGCATGGTCATCCACCTGGGTGGGCATCCACATTGTACAAGGATTCGATATGAGTTTTCGTTGGTGGAACGCGGCGAGATGCGTTCGAGTTTGTGGGCATATTGTGCTTCAAAAAAGCCAAGTAGCATCCACTTTGGCCGGCTCGGTGGTCAAAGTATCGCACGTCGTTCGCTCTCCATCAGCTCCATCTGGTCCAAACAGCTCGGCTGGATGAAAATCCAGATAGACACGAACGCTGCGAGAGTCGCTGCCAACGCATTCAACGGCCTCCACCACCCATTGCATGAGCACGACATGACGATGGAGGTGCTCGTGGGTATCAGGTACATCGTCGACCCAGTCCTTAAACACATGACACCGCGGTAGACGCACACCGGAGTGGCTCGCGCATTCCACCTGGTCGACCGTCATTTCGAGCCTGTCTGACCCGTTCTCGTAACATTTTGCGGTCCCGCCAGTGGTATCTTCCATTGACGCCTAGAGTTCATGGCAATCGCATCTGACTCCTACCGAGCCACTGAACCTCTGAACAGCCTGCGTGAAGGGGCACCTTTGGACTTGCCTTGATGGCCTTTGGACTTGTCTTGATGAAAACTGTTGGCAGCATGAGGATGGAGGCAGGAAGCAGACGTCGCACATGTGTATGTTTTGAAATTATTCAACGTTACGCGTGTGAGCAAGCTAAAGTCACCGCCAAAGTCGGCGCCGCCACCTCCACCGCCGTAGTCACCACCGGCGTAGTTGCCACCGTAATCGCCATGGTTGCGATGGCCATCGGCTAAAGCTTCACCGATGAGGACACCACCGACAATTCCAGCCGTGGTGCCAATGGCGACACCGGCCGCCATGCTGCCACCTCGATTTCCGTAGCCGTAGCCACCACTGTAGCCAAATGGTTCGTGGACTACCATTGGCGGCTGGGAAGTGTACGCGACGCCGCCTGATGGGACGTAGACTGGCTCAGCTTCGTACACCCTGCGGCGGCAGCAGCTCCATATAACCATGGTGAGCGCGATGGCCCCGATGCCGAATACAATCCACGCCCAGAACGGTGTACCGGACGACGACTTGGTGATGGGAGTCGGGTTGGAATCGCACCCACACGACGCAGCGTTTATCGGAATCACACAACGTGCTGCAGGAGGGCAGCAACACGCTTGCTTGACGCCACCGCTGAGCCACGGACCACAATATTTGCCTGGAAGGCCCTTGAATGCGTCGCCGCATTGGGAGGGGTCGTTGGCGCAGCGCTGGCATGCAGACGTGCCAGGGAACGGTGTCATGGCCGGCGTCGTATGTGCCGACACGGAGAGTGACCACAAGATGACGCACAGAGCTGTCACGAGCATCGTGATGTGTCGGTATGCCCCCTTTCAGATAGGTTGTTTCGTGGATTGCGAAAATTTGGAACTGCGCGATTTTCAAACCAGATAGTCTAGTTTTTCGGGATATTCGCTGGAGGAATTCCCCATGGACGTTGTAGTTTGACTCGGTGACCGACGCGAAAGGCGAAGCGGTGCGGAAGCTCACTCTATTGCTCGTTTTCATCGGCCCTTCCTGTCGAACACGCCTTCACACCGCCGACTCGATGGAGGGCCGGGGAGAGGGTCTGTGGGCAAACGGCATCGGCGAAACATCGAAAGACCTTACGTCAACGCGGTTGGTGCATGTGCTTTGCATCTCTACGATGCCACGTGCTCGTCCCTTGGCGCAACTCGCGATTGCGGGTCTGTGAACAAAGTCGATGGTGACTACGTCATATCGTTCGACGCGGCGACCACCTTACGCACGTATATGAAGCTATATTCCCGATGCGCGTCACTGCAGTCGCAGAGTATCATTTGGTGCATGACTTGGAACTTCATTGAAGGGACTTCAGGAACGAGTCCAGCGCACTGGGTGGTGGCGCACCTGCGGGCTTCTTTTTCTTCTTTTTGCTGTCCAGGAGCTTCCGAGGCGGACTTGGTGGTGGGCCAAACATACTGCCATGAGTTCGTTTGACCGCCACTGGAGCAGGTGGTGGTGGCGGTGGCGCCACTGGTTTGGACCTCTTCTGATTGACGGCAACGGGGGTTCCGGGGGATGAGCGGCGGTGGTGGCAATGGTGGCACGTCGTCATGACGGCGTTACGCACACGAACACAAGGAGGGACCGTTTTGTGGAGGATTTTGGCTTTCCTCTTGGACGAGGCATGAGCGCGCGCGAGCTTCTTATTGACCCCGGCGTTGTGACGTTGATGGACGATGCGGACGTGCGCACTCTTGCCAGGAACCAACAGCCCAAAGCAAGCGTCGCAGAACGAATCCATCACTGCGCTTGGAAATGGTCGCGAGAATGGTCGGTTTGTGGACTTCTGCATGGTGTCGACGAGGCGAACGAATGCAGTCGAGTGGATATGTGCCAGTGCCAGCGTACTTGCGCATTCCTCCGCAGGCTGGGCTGTCGTGGGAAGAGAGAAGAAGTTTTCAGGTAAGCGTTGTAGCATGGCATGCGCCGTCGTCCAGTGAAACAGCAGCCGGCGCCGCAGCGCCGTGTCGCTCACGCATTCCGCCACCGTTGCGTCCATGTGGGAAGAGGTCGTGATGGTTCGTGTCCAACTCGAATTGTGACTCCTTTTTCATTCCATATATTGTATATATGAGTATCGCATTGTAGACTTTGACAATTCAAATACCTACATGTAAACCTGTGCAATTTGATGTACTTTGGCAAATAATAATATGGGAAACAGAGGTAGGTGGTTCTTTATGCGGATGACCTGGTTTCATTGGTGCATTTTAACCGGCGCACGATGGTTTCAAGTATGGCACAGTCCAAGGAATGACCACAGCCGTCGACGACGCCGAAGTCATCGCGGAGAATGAACAAGCGTTGGCAGGTACACCTCGTGTGCTCTGCACATGGAATGTCGAAAGGATACGTAGCCTTCGCCGATGGAGACAAAACCCCCGAGGCTCTTGCGGCGCGACCGCCCTTAGAACGGATCCTGCAACAGATCCGACAGCACGGCGTGTTATACTACGACTGGGGCCTCGTCAAGCACGTTGTCCTGGTCAAAGTCCAGATCGCAATCGGTGCGTACGATGCTGTGGGACCGTCGACAACGCCAGAAGAAGTCGATCGCAGCGAGCTCTTCAACACAATCCTTGCTCGAGCCACGTACGTGGCCGCGGACATGAATTCTACCCCCTTGGATCTGACGTCAAATGTAGACCGCCATTTACACTCCAGCGACTGATTGAAGTGCTCATGGACCCCACTCGCTACTACGCGCAATCGTCCAAGTTTATGAACGCTGTTCACAAGGTGCGCATGGGTCTCCTTGGAAAAATGGCTTGTCACCACGGTTGTAGTTTTTTCAAGTGAGTTCGATGGCCGAAACAGACGATCCACGCAATCCCCGGCTGCAATCGGTGCGGCGCAGGCATGTCAATCCGTCCTTGCGACATTTGGTCGAGTCGTAAACGACTTTCATGAATCGTTGAATCGAGGCGGACGGCCCGCCCGTCGATGTTGTCGCACGCATGCTTCCACACGCACTTCGCACACATCCCCATCGTTCGCAATGATTCGTCACGTGAAGCGCTTGAGATAAAATGCACGTACGCATTGCAGCTCGGGATATTCCGTCTGGCCACTGCTGTCGACTACATATCGTCGACAGGCCGTCCTAAACGCTTCGTCCCATGCAAATTCTGTGCTCCGTCGCGGCAGCAAAGTTTGGCGAGAGGCTCCTTGCTACATGGTTGAGGCCGCGCCAACACTGCCGCGCTTGAGGGCGACTCCAACAAGCGCTCGATGAACTCCGTCGTTGTTTCGAGGAAAGGAGCGTCGTTTATGGATGGGTGTTGCACGTACGCATGGGGTAATGTCCGGGTTGGTTGAACAACATGGCCTGGGGTGAGGGGGTGCCGCATGCGATGGGTGGACACTATTAATTGTACTACAGCATATTTTCTACGTCGTTGACACTCAATGGCCAGCACTTCCGTTGTACTTGTGGCGATGGAGGGCGTCGGGGAGGGCGTTTAGCATCTTGAAAAAGGGCATCTCGACGACAACGAGCTCGGGGGTCGCGGACGGCTCGTCGACGGCGAAGAAGTCTGCAAACGCAATCGGACCGTAGTGCTCGATAAACTGGTACGTTGGGTGGCCCGTCGGAGTATCGGGAACGTCGTCGCTGGATGAGTCGACGGCGTTGCCGACGCTCAGCGTGCGGCGCCGCTTCTTCGTGTCGTCGCGCACAATCGGCTGGTCAATATCGATGTGGAAGAGGAACTGCTGGCTCCAAAACACGACGCTATTGGGCTGCGTCGGGTGGAATGCAAGCCCTTTGATGTTGTACGGCTGGCGCAAGAACAGCGTCTTGGGCAACTTGTGGTGATTTTCGCGGCTCCACTCGGTCATGTTCTTTTGCTCAACGTCGTAGCACGCAAAGTGGTTGGTGACGGTAGCCACGACGAGGGTCTTCCCGTTCGGATGGAACCCCAGGCATGTGTGCATGTCTTGGGGTGTCGGGAAGTCGGCGTAAAACGACATCGCGTCCAAGTTGAACACGGATATGTGGTTATCGAGATCACCGACGGCGAGCCATTGCCCGTCCGACGACACTGCGAGCGATTTGGTCTGGACACTGCGCTTCTTCACAAACACTTTGATAGCGCTGAGCGACGTCAGGTCAATGAGCCGCACGGCGACGTCGCCCGTGATCAGCCGCTGGGAATCGGCTGTAAACACCATCGAATACGCGGGGTGCGCGACCGTCGACGCGAGCGGTAGTTTCTTGATCACGCGACCGTTGACGGAAAACACCTTGAGCACCGACGCGGTCGATGCCGCGATGAACTTGCCATCGGGCGAGATCGCCGACGACACGATGTTGGCCTCAGCTGCCAGTTTGAGCTGCGCAACCATGGTGGGTGCCGCAGGCGCTGCAGCATTTGCAGACCCCAACGCCCACACTTCGAGCGACGTCGGGTGCTGCACGAGAACATGGCGAGCTTGAGGAGCCAGCGACACGAACGGCCGCTGCGGCAGCGGGGTCGCCTTGTTCGGGCGCAAGGCGTTAAATTTGGCGGCGTTGTACCAAACCAAGTGCGTATCGACGCCACCAGAGACCAAGACGGGCGTGGAACCGTCGTCCGTGGACAACGTGCCGGGCGAGATGGCCAAGGCGCGAACGTCGTGCGTGTGGGCTCGATGGCTGTACGCATACGCCCATTGCGATGACGGCGCTTTGCCAGAGCTTGCACTACCTTTGCGGAGCTGGATCACTTGGTTGTCGATCCCACTGGCAAACAAGAGAGTCTCCGATGAGTCCACCGCCAGCGTCAACACATCCGCCGTCAACTGGGCAAATGTTTGCAGGAGCGTGCCAGACAACCCATCCCACGTGTGTACGTTGCCGTTCGAATCACCACTGATCACGGTCATGTCGTTGAGCACGAGAAGCGACCACACGACAGCAGGTGCTTGTTTGGCGAATCGCTCGAGAGTCATGCGGGACTCATTGCGGCCGGTGCGCGTGTCCCATTTGTAGATCACGCCATCGTCGTTGCCACCAAAGACGATGTCGCTGTCCGCATGCAGTGCCAGCGACACCACGCGACGACCAGTACCACCAAGCACCTTGTGGAACACGATCGGCTCCGCTTCATCTTCTGGCACCGCGTACAGTCGGATGCGGCCGTCTTCGCAACCCACCGCAAGGACTTGTTCCGACGCTTTGTACTGCATGCACCAAACCGGGCCGCCATTCGCATGGATGCAGTGGATAAACCGCAACGTGTTCAAATTCACTTCGCTCACGGTGCCGTCCAAACACGACGCGAACAACCGGTTCGACGACGTCCACACCACGCCTGAAATGACCGCGGTCGACCGGCCTGACACGACCGCGTGCAGGTGGAATTGCCGGAGCGACGCATGCCACAGCTCGATGTTGCCGTTCTGTCGAGCGACAGCCAGCATGTCGCCTGCTGCGTTGAACCCCATTGCAGTGATCGTGGACGGTTCGTACTTGAGGAATCGGCACCGGTGGACTTTGCACGCGGTGATCACAGATGACGCGACTTCCTCCGGCACCACGTCATCGTCCAATGCAGAATCATCTGGAGCATCCACGGCATGCTGCAACGACGCAGCGTCGTGGATAGAGGCCGCGCTGCGCTTCTTAGTCGGGCTCGCCTTCATCTGCGCTTCGTTTCTCGGTGTGATCGTTCGTGGGCGGGCAACCACGACGGTCGCACCAGTCGTTTGGCTGTATTTTTTGCTTTGTTTTGATTGGGTGTCGGGAAATCCGGATAACGTGGACAATCCGAATAAAACGGCGCAATCGCGATCATGTCGTTGGGCGAGCACCAGAAGGAGATGGTGGCGCTGGCGCGGCAGCAAAATGTCGTCGTGAGTGGCAAGAGCGGCATCGGCAAGACGTTTGCAGCTGCGTTCTTCATCCGTGAGATGTTGCTCGATCACCCGGAAAGCAAGGCCCTTGTACTCGTGACGAGTGTGGCCAAGACCACCGAGGTGTTCAAGTTAGTGTCACGGCTTTGCTCGGAGAAAGTCGCAGTCGCATCGGAGGACGTGGCTCATCTGTGGCAGGACGCGGCGCACTCGAAGCGTGAGTGTGCGCAAGCTCGAGTGCTGTGTGTGTCACCCTCGATTGCGTCCCACTTGTTCTATGTCGGTCGACTTGAGACTTTGTTGTTGTTGCCTAACATTGCATGGGTCTGGTAGTTGGGTCACATTTCACTGGAAACACTGGCGCTGATCGTGGTCGAAGATATGGAAGACGTACGCTGCAATGGATGCGACTTCATCCAGAGAACTGACTTCGCGTAGATGTTTGCCACCGCCGCAACATTCACCGAACGCCTCGCGACTAAGTACATCAAGGTACCGCACCTACAGCGGCCAAGGCTGTTTGCCATGGTGTCGAAGCCGCTCTCAGAGCTCGATCTACCGACAAGTCGGAATCCGTTGTACAAACTCGTGACAGCATTTTGCATCTCGCAGCCCACGTTTCGGAAACGTGCGACCATTGCGCCGATCATTGTCGAGACCTTTCAGTACGAATCAAGCAACTACGCCGATGCCATAGGACACCCGGTGGATTTTCTTCGCGGGGCGAACCCCTTGCACTGCAACGCTGAAGCGCTGTACGCCAGTCTGCTCACACTCGGCAACGTCTCGTCACAGTACGATGTCTTGACGATTGAAAGCCGGCGCAAACGATTCGTTACCGCCGCTGAGGCCATCCTGGAGCAACTTGGATTGTGGTGTTTTCTCAAGTTTATTGAGCTGGAACTGCGCCATGAGCTCAAGGACACTCTCGACCGGCAAATCGACAACGGCATGGATGCACAAGCTATCAATATCTTGACCACCATGGACGTTGTCCCGCCGGTAATGGACCCCAAGTCCCGCATCGAACACCACGCCGACGTCCAACAAACCCAAACGTTCTTGGCCTGGATTGTCGAGCAGCAACACAAGCACGGACTCGGCGCAACAAACGCGCGGCTGAAAAAGGTCGCCGACTTGTATGGGTCGTACATGGACAACGCGCGGGAAACTGGTCGATGTTGGGTATTTTTGCAGCGCCGGGTGCATACTCGTGTCGTGGCCGAGTACATGACGGCATGCTTTCCGGCATATCCTCCGTGCTGCAGCATGCTCGGCAGCGGCCATGGCAGTGTTGCTGGGTTAGACAAGAGCGACGTGAAGGCGGCGGACGTCGAGAAATTGTTTAACGAGGGCAAGAGTCCCCTACTTGTGACGACGGCCATGTCGACCGAAGTGGAGCACATCGCCCCATGTGACCTCGTCATTTGCATGGACGAAGTCGTGGATCCGCACAAACTGGTCGACTTTCGACAGCGTACGACTTGGTGGTGTCCTCTATGGCCGAGTTTGATGCAATGGACATGTAGGGGCCGATCCCGACCACGGCGTGTTCAAGTATGTCATTCCAGACACCCCGATGGAGCTTGACAAGTACCGCGCTTTATTTGGCAAGATGGCGATGCTGCTGAGTCTCGACGGCAACGGTGCCAGCACAACCGAGACGTTGGACCAGGCGGTCGTGCCTCGGCGGAACACACAGCAGCACGGACGAAAGCACCACCACGGTCGCGTCAAGTGCGTTGTGTGGCTGTGGTTGCCGCCATGGATGTGCTGACGGTGCAACACGTAGGTACGAACTGTACCACGCCGACGTCAAGGCCAAGATGACACTGGAAAATTCGATTCAGATCCTCACGGCATTCTGCCACACGCTGCCTGGCATTAAAATCTACGACAACCGGCCGTTGTACATGATCCAGCGCCACTTGATGGGTCGGCTGGACGGCCGAAAGCGCTGTCGAACGGACACTGCCGACGACGGCACGATCGACCATCGCAAGTTTTTGTTTTCGGCCAGTTTGAAGCTCCCGTCGATGCTCCGCGTCAAACACAACATCTCGACCCCAAAGGTTTGCATGGACGCTTCGGGACGTGAATCTAAATGGGCAGTCAGGTCGCCTCGGATAAACAAGCCAAGTGCATTGCTGCGTTCAAAGCAGTTGAATTGCTCCTGAAACGAGGGTTCCTCGACCGGTCGTTCAAGTCGAAACTCCTCGTCAACCGCACGTTCATTCCACAAGAGTCGGTGGACGAAGACATGGAGCTGGAGACGCAAAACAGCTACGACATTCCCCCCGCGACGGCAGTCGAGATGGGACTCTCCCCGGTCAAGTCCAAACTGCTGCGTGACGGCGACGACAACGACGACGCTGTCATGCACTTGTACGGACTGCAAGGCATGCAGTATGGCATTTTGTGCACGGAGCCCATCTACGGCGGTATGCTCGCTTCATTTCCTAGACGTTTTCAACGCGGTTCCCGCAGGAAAAACGTCGGGGCGGTGGCGCTTTGAATTGCCCACAAGCGACGTGATGAAGCCTGCCGTTCAGCACGTCCCATTGACTGTGCATCCGACAAAGGTGACGTTGCGCCAGTCGGATTTGAAGATGGCGCTCAAGTTCCACGTCATGTTGATGCGGTTGATTTGCTATGGACTGGAAGCAGCCATGTCGCCCACGAACGGAGACATCGACACCGAGTTCTCGTCCAAGAACGATAAGGGGTACGTGGTGGTGCCGACGCTTTGTCCAGTCGGGGGAGGTTGTCTCGAAATCGACTGGGCGGGGCTGCACAACGTCATGCAGTCCGCGCTCCTTCGACCGGCGTGGCCGATGTCCGGAGAGTGTGGCAATTGCATTTACGTGTCGAATAAGCGGCGCAACGTGGCGTACGTGATCAAGAAAGTGACGACTACCATGGTGGGCGACGTGGCGCGGCGAGTCGTTTCCAACGATCAGTACTGGTCGTATACTCTCCGCCGCGCCAAGTCAGGTACTTTTCCGCGGTCGTTTGCACGGCATGACGTAGTAGTCGACTGTAGCGCCTGGGATTCCAATTTTGGGCCGGTGGTATACCAAGGAAGCGTTGCTGACGGCGAGTCCAGACCAGCCGCTCGTCCACGCGATCGAGATTCCCGGCGCTGTGCCGTTGATCCGGTTTGTCCACGAAGGCAAGGCCCAGTTGGACTTTGGAGAATTGAAGGAACGGTTGCTTATTCCTGACCAAACGTCGATCCTGGCGCTGACAAAGCAGCAGTACTTTGACGCGATCCGACTCGTGCCGCTCCTGTTTGAATTTGAACGCAAGTGCCAACTCTCGACGTTGATGCACGCGATCGGGTGCGACATTGACGCCAAGCACATGGAAGAAGCGACGACAAAACCCGCCTACGAACGGCTCGAAACCCTCGGCGACTGTTTTCTCAAACTCGAGTCGACGTGGTGGCTGTACCAGGTATAAATCGCAGGATGGAATCGAGCGACATTGCACCGTCGTGTAGAACCGCCACGATATCAAATCGGAGGGAACGTTGTCCATGTTGCGTGGAGACATGATTCGAAACGACCGACTGTGCAAGCTGTCGATGCAAAAGATGCTCCACCACTACATGATTTACCCCACCGACTTGGAACAACGGCCGTTCCGGTCGTGGATTCCCAGCTGCATGGGCCGAACACCAGACCCCGTGATTGCGCACTTGAAATGGATTGCCGATGTGCTGGAATCCACGTGCGGCGCATACATCCAAGGCGCAGGCGAGTTTGCGGGCCGGGCATTCTTGTCGTACGTACCTCGTCGACGTTCCCTCTTCGGCTCATGCTGTGTCCAGGTGGGCAGGGTGTTCGGTGTGCGAGGCGCCCCAAATCTACAACCGGACATACTTCCCCAACTGCATCCCGCAACACGTCCCGGCCTTGGACAGTCCCGAATTGCCCATCCACCTGGTACAGTCCCATGCGAGACGACTCGATTGTCTCAAGTTTGGCAGGATACATGGGACTTGACGCATCTGGGGTATCCCGATGTCCCCGAGCGCATGTATCTCTTGCAAACGTCCCTCAAGTACACGTTTCAGGACAAGCGGTTGCTCCTCGTACGCATGGTCCCATCCCATTTGGTCGTATGACGGACATGTAGGAAGCCATCACGCATCCGTCCGTGGCGCAATGGCTGATCCAAGCGGACAAATCCACGACAAACGTCGTTTGGAAAGGTGACTACGAACGGCTCGAGTACTTGGGGGATGCCTTGATCGAGTACCTTGTCGTGTCGTATGCGTATGTTCAATACCCGACGTGGCAGCCGGGCGCGTTGTCGGATTGGAAAGGCGCGACGGTGTGCAACGACGCGTTGGGCAAAGCCGCTCTCATTTGCTTTCACATGGACCAGATCATGCTGACGGGGTCGATGCGGATGGATCCAGCGTTGGAGACCAAGTTGGCACACATCAAGCGGCTCCATGCCGAAGGAAGCTCGGAGCGACCTCACGTCACGATGCCCAAGATCTTTGCCGATGGCTTTGAAGCCCTCTGCGCCGCTGTGTTTCTAGACTCGGGATGCGACCTCCACGTCATTCGAGATATTTTTCTCGGACCCCTCTTGTCCGTCATTGGCGCCGATGCCGTCGCACTCGTCACGCGGAAAAACGCCCCCAAACCTGCCGACCTGTGCCTCCCAAGGGACACCCCCATCGCATTTGACGCTCACGACGACGACGACGACGACGGCGTTGCCCATGTCGTTGCTGACCCTGCAGCACACGAACCTTCAGTTGCAGACGATGCTCCTGTTGAAGAAACCGTTGCGACGACTGCAGGCGAAGCACCAGTTGCATTCGAAGCACCAGCTGCAGGACGAACTGGTGGCGACGACGTTGTGAAACGGGCGCGCCCCACACCTCGTCCGATCGTGTCGTCAACGACACCTGTTGAGATCATCGAGATTGACGACAGCGACGACGACTAGCCGCTAGATGATTTCACCACCTCTCAACTGTAAAACGTTGTCGAAATATTCGTTGGTAGTACCATGGTTTGGCCCGACAAGGCGTACACCGCTGGATCGCTGATGGACGAGTTTCAATTTTCCACCGAGCGATTCGTCCTGGACATGGCGACAACTGTCGCGAATTCTACATCTCAACCAAAATGGCTGTGTACCTCAAACACTGCTGCACCAACATCCCATGGCACATCGAGACACACTCTTGGACGAGTCGTGGTAGGTGCACACGTCCAAGCAAAACGTTGCACCAGCGCACAAACGAAATTATTATCGATAATGTGGACAAAGTCGCAAAGAATTCCCTCGTCGGGAACCTACTCGGTGGGTTCGGGTGGGCGCATGTCGAAGCGCTCCTCAGCATTCGTCGGCGCTTGTATCATGTGTGGATGCAGTGTCGAGCGCGGTTGGCACACAGGACACGGTGGCAATGTCACGCAATGCCGAGAAGGACCGCGTGAGATTTTTTGAACGAGCTGCTGTTGAAAGCCACCACATCGTGGTGAACCCACGCCTGTCGAGCCATGGCCTCCCCATCATTTGAATCCGACGTCCTCAAGCATTCTGTGGCTCCAATAAGGGGCATCGCACAGGCGGCAATCCGAGTACATGCTGCCAAATCCCCACTTCACATAACCAAGATTTGGAACGATTTTTTCGGCCGACACGCGTGCATTTCAGGGATGTCCCTCATTCCGCCGAAAGTGCCGTGCGGCGCTCAAAACACTCAACTTGTGTCCGTTTGAAATCATATCCCCGTGGCCTACATCCGTGGCCTCCTCGATTCAATGCCAAAGCCCATGCTTTTCGTAATTCTAGGCGGTCAACAAAGGATAAACTTGACAATTA